GTCACTTCAACAAAAATTTCATCCACCCGTGGAGGAAGAGGAGGCGGCGGGCTGAGAGCTCCACCGTGAGCACACTCTGCCCTCTGCTGAGGAACTTTAACCAGTGCCAAGCACAGCGATGGCTGGCTCAGCTTAAAAACTGTTGAACACACACACACACACACACACTGCAGCCCCTTTTGTTTAACGATTACTTTTTCTGACGCTGTCACAGAGAGATGTGGGGAGGCTCATCCTCTAACAGGCATGTTGGGCGTTTATTTTCTCTGAAGGTTGATGGGTTTTCTTCAAAGATCAGATTTTTTTTAAGCCTTGGTAGTACAACTGCTGACATTATCATTGTGAGACAGTATTGATTGTGTTGTTTGCCTCGCACACTGACGCAGGGCTGAAACGATCAGGATCATTTTTGTCTAATTCGACTCTTCTTTCAAGTTACTGGTTCAGAGTAGAAACACTGGTTAGTTGCAGCCCTGCTCTGATGTGTGGAGGAGCTACAGTAACAGATGCAGTTTTGTTGTTTTTGACTTTTTTGTATATTTTCTGTTTGTTGATTTTGTCTGCACATAATTTTTGGTTTTGTTGGGATTTTGTAGACTTAATCTGCTTCCCTTCTGTCTGCTGTCCCTCTGTGTTTCACCCTTTAGTCACAGTCACTCAGTTTCCCTTCTGCAGATACTCAGTTTTTTTTTGTGGTCTGATCCCGTCGGTCAGCTATCAGTGCCGTCCTTCTTAAACTGTAACTGACGTTTTGAGCTAACGTTTCAATGCTCATGTTATATTTAGGGGAAAAGGTCCAAATCTTTGTCTAACAATGATGAAATATTGTTTTGGTTTAGCACAGAAAAGAAACCGGCCACAGTAATGCAGTGTGGCCAGTAGGAGGTGGTACGAGTAGATCTCCAGAAACTCACCAGGCATTAATCTCTAGTTTCTCCTTATGTAATTGATTAACCGTGTATTTCAGCAGGCAGCTAATTATTGAGAGAGAATATGGAGATATTGATTATCTGCCTGATAAGACAGATGGCCGACATGACATCCAGCAGCTGCTGAGTTTCTTGTGCTACAGAGGCTGTGACCGGCTGCCCGCCATCATCACAGTCACTGTGACGCAAACGTTCATACTGTGTGCTGCCTCAGCGTGTTTTACTTTACTGTGATATAGTGAAGAGCAGTCATGCTCATGTTCCACGGGGTTTTTGGCAACTAAATCAAAGTTATGCAAAGCTTCAGTTTTACAGTGACGAACCTCCTCCTGCAGTTCTGTGGTGTGCTGGACTTTTGAGCTTCTGAGCCAAATCATTTTTGCAGACGATGTGCTGCTGACTTTGTGCGTGAAGTTGATCCGTTTGAGTTTTTTGCTTGTCCTTCTACTTTTTGAGATTTTCAATTGTATTAAAATCCAGAGTTTCCAGCCCATGATGCCGGGAGAGCGTCATGGGCTGGAAACGGTGACACGAAGCTCCATGTTAGAGAGTGTGCCAGTTGTTAGGTGGACAGACAGAAGCGGAGAAACGGATCAATGTGGAGCTCTGAGGCAGGAACGGATCACCATCAATCAGCATTTGGCTCAGAAGCTGATATCAGCACGTTATGTTGTTCACGCTGTAAACACAGAGTCTGCATGAATTTGATTTAGTTGGAGCTAAACTCATTTAGTTCTTATGATTTTTCTTCACCATATCATAAAGAAAATGTGCGAAACACAAAATTTATGCCACTTAAATTTTTGGCCATGATTCTTTCTCGACAAGGCTTCTGAGTTTTCTGTGCTGTGAAGCGTAAAGTCTGTTATTGTCAACGAAAATCGTCCAAGTCCTGTTTTTAGAACAGTTTATTTAGGAATCTGAAAAAGTTCATTAGGCAGAAAATGTTTTGCTTATCCTTCTTTAAATCATGTGAAAAGGTTAACTTGGTCTCTGGGAGCCTCTGAGGGGAGTAACCATCATCCAGCAGGTTCATCGATAGCAAGAATAATCTAGTTACAGCCTTAAGCATTACAATGCATGAAAGCGACTTTCTTTTCTCTCATTAACATGAGTATTTTAACATATGAGACGCAACTCATGAGGTTTTGTGAAATCGGATGTTATGGTTCTCCCGGCTCGCCCTGTGAAATATCTGCATCGTGATGTTACGTCAGACCTGCGAGTGGAGACCCGAGTGTCTCGTCAGGTGGACTCATCAGCACTGTTGCGCTCGCTTCGGGCTCTGGCTCAGAAGATGACGGGTAAAGACTCCTCATAAGAATCTAACAAACTGAACGGTTCGGGTCCTCTCCACGTGTGCCTGTTTTCTACCTTTTCCGTTTGTACGTTTTTATTCACTTCTGGCTTCTCTCCTCAAGCAGCCTGTGCAGATCAGAAAAATGTTGAAGCACTGGTGTAAATACTGGCTGACTTAAGCTGATTTCAGAGCAAATTTACCGAGCTAATTTATTCAAGACGAAGATTGGGATTAAAGGGGAGGGGGGTGGGGTTTGTATACTGTACCACTAGGGGGCATCAGATTCTGCAGGGCTTGAGCGTCAGATGAGGCTCCTGGTCTGCAGAGATGTCATTTCCTGTAAAGCTTTTTGTGGATATGGAAGTTGACAGCTGTTCACTGAGGCTCCCACATCCACAAGCAGCCAAGCTGACAGGTTTTTGTTATGTTTCTGTTTTTCTAAAATGATGGGGGCTGTAATTCAGAGATCTGAGCTTGTTCTTTTATTTGCTTTTAAATGTGCAGGAAATAAACTGAGGATTTGCTGTAGAGCTGCTGCTTCTGTCGTCTTTATTAACAAAAAAGAAGAAGGCGTAAGATTTTCTTTTCTCCATTAGTGCAGAAAAGTGAAGAATGAAGGTTTTTACAGAGTTCAAAGGAAGCAGAAATGAGGTTTGGTAATGGTCAAAACAAAACTGGGTAGATGAAACAAGCAGGAAAAAATCTTACAGATGAGCGCAGGCAACAGTAAAAAATACTACAGATTAATGCCAAGTAATTCACGTGTTTAATTTTAGTATATTTAGAACAAAGTTTGTCAGTTACAGTTGGAGTATGAACGTTAAAGCTACAGAGGTTGCATGAGCACACTGCAAGCAGAATGAAACATGCTCACCACATTGTAAACGCGCGTGGTCCTTGGTGATGTCATTAACTGACTGAAAGGCCCCCGCTGACTGTGCACTGGCTGGCCACTTCATTAGGCACACCTGTTCAATCGCAACTGTCTAATCTGCCAATCACACGGCGACATGGCTCCAGTGGGTGGCGCTGAGGCACGATGCGCTGTTAGGACATAAACCTCAGAGAAGAAGAAAGCAACTTTTATTTTGAAAACTCACTCTCCTGCAGCTGCTAGGCTTTGCTAAATAGTGTTCCCAGCTCATCATGGCCTCGCCAGCCTGACTCCAGCTTTTTCACGGAGTTCCCTTTCAGTCTTTGGTAGTGATGGTGAGATGAAGCCTAGTGATGAACTGAAGCTTTTTATTTGCTGTACTGCGCCATCAAGTGGACGATTCAAGTGAAACGGGCTCTGTGATTATAATGTGATGTGTAAACCTCTAAACTGAATAAATAAATTGTGTTCGTGGTTATTTATCCCGAATATTGTCTCAGTATGTCTGATACAAAAGAGAAACTGGAAACTATCAGGACAGGGTTTTGGTATGATAGTGTAACTGTTAGGGCTGTGTGGGGAAATTTTGCCTCAGACAGTCAGAAATATTATAATTCCGATCATGCATCAGTACATTTTGTATATTTTTATAGATATAAAAAGAAAGCTGACACTTTGGAGACTTTATCAAAGGTGTGAGCATCAGCAGATGCCTTTGTGTCAAAGTAACTGAGGATAAAACACATAAAAACATGAAGGCGATTTTCCTGGCCTGGATTTAAAAAAAATATTCTGCAGTACATAAAAAAACAAAAGAAAACCATTAATCAACACATGAACATTACCTGATGCAGCTGAAGTGCAGCAGGGCAAAGTTACAGAGGTTTGATTAGAGACACAACTAAGCGTTTTGCAATTTTGCATAATTTTAAAAACTTTAAATTTGTTCAGTATTGAACGACAGAAATTAGGTTTTCTTTTCATAATTAAGTAAAAGGAAAAAGTAGCGGCCGACAGCCTGTAAACAACGGTAGAATTGTGCGTAACAAATAAGCGAATAATGAAGAAAACAGATTTTTAGACTGGAAACTGTTCTTGAAGTACAGAGAGAGAGAGAGGGAGCTGTGCGTGAAGTGTGATTTTATTGTGGTGGAAACAAAACAGCAAAAGTCAGAGTGAATTCATGGCGATGTTTATGTGAAGCGTAGTTTGGATCTTCTTTTGCTGCTGGTTCGCTCAATATTGTTTGGAGAGAGATCCGTCGGAGGCTCCGTGCTTTGTGTTTACGTCTTTGTGCAGAATCCGTGTTCCTGCTCTCATTTACTGCTTTAGCTGTTTGGTGGTTGTTGAAATTTTGTGAAGGTTTAACCTGAGATTCTGGCATTTCGGGCAAAATACATTTATATAAAAAAATGATTCAGGATTTTAATGAATCGATATGACGTTATCCAAGTATCGATTTTAATCGATAATCAGAACCCACCCCTAGTAACTGTGTAATTGTGCTTATGTACATCTGGATAATGACACAAACTAGTGTGTGGCGCTTCACTTTTTTAAAAAAAGACAGAAATCAGGTTATAGGATCTGTAGTGTTGTTTATTTATATTGTGGTACTAATCATTCGTGATATTTAGTACTGTGTGCATACTTTATTAGAAGAGATGAGATTAAAAAAAATCTCTTCCTTGCTGGTTCCATCGAACAATAAATGCTCAAGTAACTATGTAACACGTACGTAATCTGTTCAACAACACAGTGTGATGGGAAATCAGCTGTGTTTTGCTGCCCACTTTATTTCGAATCTGGCGCGAACCGGCGAGCCAGTTCCTGAATCAGTCACATGGTACGGACTGCCCGCGAGGCCTCGAACGTCACTGCATACGTAATCAAAGCGAGCCTCGATACGCGTTTCACAAAAACTCGCCGAGATTACCCGACACAGGTATCGAAGCTTCGACACACAGGACACATCACTAGTCTTTGGTCTTTTCTCCTGCACAGGTAACCAATCTCAAATCACTTTTATGGGTACATCACATCACAGCATATGTGACTGAACACGTGATTAAGCTGGCGCTAGCCTTTAGCTAGTTATCTTAGCATGCTGCTAGCTGCTTTAGTTGCTGTGTGATAACACGAGGGGAATACGACTCCATACGACATGTGTACAAATAGAACCAATGGTTTTTCAGAGGTAGTTTATGTGATTTAGTCTCATATGAAGGCTCATAGTGGGTTGAAGGTGGATGGTGTTCACATGTGATTGTTCTGATTTTATTTCTTAGTTTGGATTCACTGAAATCATTTGGACCTCCAGTCGGAGTGAACTACAACACTGACGTCTGTGAGGTTTTGCTGTGAAGCCCAAAATTCTGGGTGAAACACTATTACTGTTTCTTCTAATTAAATGACCACGACATATTTGTTTTAACTCGGTGAAATGGAGAATAGGGCCTGCCGAGTGGGAGACCCTCTTGGTTTCTTGCAGAGTATTTCAGGGTCTAAATTTCAAATTGTTTAGAGAAAAATAGGTATAGAGATCGACAGACCACGTGACTTTCGCGCATTGCATGCTGGGAACTCGTGGCAAAACAATCCAAGTACCGCATCAAATGCAAGCATTTGCAGCACCGCAAAACATTCATTCTCCCGTTCCAATACCTTCTTGGCTTTTCTTTGCCCCCCAAAAAGGTATGTACAAAACAAAGGAGAACAATCCCGGTCCGTACAAAGACAGACTTGATGAAAAGTCAAAGAAAAGATACGAGGAAAAAATCAAACCAGTGAAAGGGTTAGACCCTTACGAGCACACAGAGGGACAAAATACGTTAGCGTGCTGTCCAACTTCACCACGCTCATATTTGTAATTATACGCTTCATGGAGTGAGTGCATACACTCATGAAGTTTACTAACTTCAGGTCACTGCAACAAGCCCAGGTACAGTTTACCGACGGATGGGT